GGAAGAACCATAATCCAGAAATTAACAATAGCAAAAGATATAGATTTTACCAATTGAACACGCCCAGCATAGCTAAGTAATCTAGCAGACCAATGGCTCATTCTGGCTATAATCTTGTCCACCAAAGGCAAGTAATGGTTGCAGTTCAGCTTCTTGGAAGATAGAGGAATGCCCAAATACCTAAATGGGAGAGAGTCCTCCTTGAACTTAGACTAAATTAAGATCTGATTCTTGGTGTTAGAATCAACAGAACCAAAATAAATTTTACTCTTGCCAATATTGACCACCATACCTGTAGAATTAAAAAAAGTAGTGAAGGCATTCATAAGAAGTTCAACAGAGATTATGTCTCCTCTAGCAAAAAGTAAAACATCATCCGCAAACATGAGATTAGTCAACTGAAGTTTCTCGCATTTAGAGTGATGGTTGAAATTTGGATTGATCTGCATATGAGCCAATCATCTATGGAGATATTCCATGATAAATGAGAAGAGGAAAGGAGAAATGGGGTCCCCTTGGCCTATTCCACGCTTTGCCACCAGTAGCTCAGTAGTATAGCCATTCACAAAAAATCTATAAGATGTGTTAGAAACAGCTGCCATAATCCACTGAATGAATACATTAGGAATACCAAGTTCCTGCATAATCAGCTCCAGGGCTTTCCAACTTACCATGTCGTACGCTTTTTGCATATCCAGTTGAAGCTTAACACAAGGAGGGCCATTCTTCCTATTATAACCTTTTATAAGTTCATAAGCAAGAAGAATATGGTGATGGATCTGTTGTCCAGGAATGAAAGCAGCTTGATTCAGACTGATTATACTACCCATCACCCTGCTAAGCCTTTTGGTCATAATTCTGGAGATAATTTTATAGATGACAGTGCACACCGAGATGGGTCTGTAATCCTTAATAGCGGAGGAAGACTCTGATTTGGGGATAAGCGAAACAAGATTACAATTGAATGCTTTATAGAGTTTACTTGTATCAAAGAAATCCTTAACAATAGCTATGACATCACCTTTAACAGTATCCCAACTGGCCTTGAAAATTTTTGCCGTGTAACCATCCAATCCAGGAGCAGCCAAGTCGTTGATCCCTTTCAGCGCAGCATAAATCTCATCACTGGAAATTGGAACCACCAAAGTTTCTCTCTGAACTTGCTGCAACTGAGGGCCCTGCCTCATCACCCTAATATCAATAAAGTCCATAATGTCATCACTCTTCCCCATGAGAGAACCATAGAATTTCAGGATTTCCTGTTCAATCAGATTTTGAGAAGTTATAGTAGATCCATCATCCAGCTGCAACAAATTCATCGCTTTATTAGCTTTCTTAGTTTTAATAGAAGCATGGAAGAATGCAGTACAACCATCTCCATCCTTAAGCCATTGGATTTTTTCTCTTTGCCTAAGGATGGATTCCTCAATTTCATTCCACTTCAATAAATCCTCAATACATTTTTTGACCATCCCGATCTTCTCAGCATTCATAAGGTCATTTGCTAACTCATCCTGAGCATTAGACAGAGAATCCCTAGCTAGAGAAATGTGATGTTTTGAAGCCAACAAATTCTTATTGAGCTTGTACAAAGTCAGCCTTAGCCTCTTCAGTTTGTGCCAAAGAACATAACTAGGACAACCTTCAACCTGTTTAGTCCAAACCTCCTTGACAACATCATTATATCCTGCAGAATCCACAACACAATTAATGAAACGAAATCTTTTTTGAGGCCTAGGAGACACATCTTGATCAAAGAGGAAAAGCATAGCATGATCAGACACTTGAGGAGGCAGAATTTTAAGGCTAAAATTCAGATGCTTTAAAAACCATGCAGGGTTAGCCAGACAATGGTCTATCCTCGAATATATGGTTCCCACACAGTGTTTATTTGACCAAGTAAAATACTCCCCTGTACTATCCATCTCAGCAAGGTCCAGTTTCTGCATTAGCTCAGCAAGATCCTGAAATTCACCCTCAGAAACCATGGATCCCCCAATTATGTCTTTACTGTGAAGTACATTGTTGAAATCACCAACAATACACCAAAGGCCCTGAACGTTTAAACTATACAAATTCTGCCACAGGACCTTCCTTTGTTCCAGCTTGTTCGAGCCATAGATTGCAGTCAGGTGGAACCTATGATTGCCAAGGGTATCAGTGACCTCACAATGAATCATCTGGCTAGTTGCAGTTACCTGTTTAACATTAATAATACTCTTGTTCCAATTGATCCATATCCTACCATTGGGATGACAGTTGTAATTGTCCAGAAAATTATCACCTAGATTCAACAAACTTCTAACTTTATTGGCATGATGGATCTTAACACGAGTTTCCACCAAGATAACTATAGCAGCTCTAAGCTCTAGGAGACGGGAGCTAATCTCCCTGAGCTTAGCAGATTTATTCAGCCCCCTCACATTCCAAGAAGCAAGCATTAGCCAGGGTTTTGTAACTCTAGAAGATCATTTAAAATCCCCAAGGCATCAAAACCATTGTCACTTAGCAGATTAACAGGAGGGGTCTTAACATAATTCTGTTTGCCTAAGTCCTTACCTCTTTTAACTGTAGACCAATTTACATCCATTTGTTGATGAGAAAATTCAGCTACCTCAGCTTCAGGTTCATCAATGGGACTGTTAAGCTCAGGAACCTCAGGTTTAGTTTCCACTGGCTTGTTGGTTCTAGGTTGCCATTGTTTTGTCTGGACTTTAGGCTTATCACAGTTATGCCCCAACTTTTGGCAGCTTTTGCAGAATGCAGGCCTCCATTCAAATTCAATCCGCTGCTCCATTTTGTTTCCAGAATCATCACATATCATGATAGACCTAGGGAGTTCTTTTGTGACATCAACTTCAACAAGGATTCTCGCATATGAGACACACAGACGGTTGGCAGTACACTCATCAGTAACAATAGGGTTACCCACTGCACTTCCAATTTTGTTAAGGCTGGTATCTCCCCAAAGATAGATAGGCAGCTGGGGGAATTTAACCCATAGAGGAAGGGTGCGCAGAAAATCAGTCTTCAAGTTAAAATCTGGGCGCCATTCACGGATAAGAATGGGCATACTTCTGAATGTGTAGGGACCCCTCATTAGAACCTCATCTCTGTCACTAAAAGCTTTGAACCTCATAATGAAATAACCTTCCTCGTTATAGTAAATGTCTGGAAGTGGAACAAAGTTCCAGAATCTTGCCATGAAGTTCTTCACACCGTTCATGCTCATCTCCCCTCCGAGGACATAGAGAACTAAAGACGGCTCCCAGAATTGAATCTCAGCACGGATGTCCTCTTTAGCTATCTGAACTTCCACTTCACCATTAACAATCTTAGGCGCAATAAAACTCATGGCCCTACCCTTAGAGGGATTTCTATTATCAGTTAGGACATCAACCCGTAGTTTCCTCGCAGCTGGGTTATCGCACTTCAAAGCATGAAAATCATCGCCCCCTGCATTCTGCAATATAGGTTCAGAATCCTTAAGACCAAACGAGCTTCCTGTAGCCGGTAGTTCATCATCTCGCGAAGATTGACAATCAAGTGGTGGAGGTGAAGGTTGAGGACTGACAGGGAGTGGCGGCGGCACCGCTTTTTTCGGACGCCCCGGTTTCCCTTGTTTCCCCTGCTTCACCATGAAAAAAAATTTATTTCTCTTCTTTTTATGATACTGCTATATTTAAAAGGACTAAAAACATATTTAACCCTAATAATTATAATAAAAAAATTATTTATACCATTTGTTGGTATAATTATTCAGTACTAGAAAATAGTTTTTTAATAAAAAAATTGTTAAGTTTCTAGTAGAAAGAAATTAGCAAACTAATATTTTAAATACTAATAATTTATTAAATTTTTTATAATTTTATTAAAAGTTAAAAAAATTGTTTTAAAATTTAAAAAATTTATATAAGTTTTTAATTAAAATATATCTTTTTTAGTCATGTAACTTAGTGGTTGGATTCACCTTTAACAAGTGAAATGTTACGAAATTAAACCCACGACTATGCATATGATGTCTCTGCATAACTATCAATTATATAGACTTAACGGGACTAAGATATTTAACCTATGCCTAAATATAAAAAATATTGAAAAATATATTTTATTAAATCCAAAATAAAATAAAAAAGATAGTATTTATTATTATCATTATTTTTTATAATAATAATTATTTTTTTATAGAGTTAAATATGTTTTTGGTCTCTATAAAATTACCAAATTTTGTTTTTCTCCCTATAAAAAAATTACATATTTTGGTCCTTATAAAATTATTATACACGTAGTTTTAGTCCTTGCTGTTAATTTAATGTGTATTTTTGAATGATTATTTTGAAGAAATATTTAGAACATTATAAAAAGTTCTTTGAAAAAAAAAACTCAAAATTTGATTTCTAAGTCGAGATTTTCATTACTTTATCATTATCTTTTAAAATTTAAAATCTTTTTATTTAATTATTCTCATTTTAAAAAATTATAAAATTTAGTAAAGAAATATTTTATAGTTTTTTAAATATGTATGGAAAAAAATATTCAAAAATTTAAAAGTTTAAGGGTAATTAAATAAATTGTAGGAACCTAAATATGTCATTTATTTTATAGTTGTATGCATAAACTCATTTTGAAAAAGAAATCTCATTTATTAATAAAAAAGAAAATATTTTTTATTTCTTAAATATAAATTCAAATCTTAATAAATAAACAAAGACTTTAAGAATTAAAAACATTGAATAGACAAGATTTGGTATAAAAAGGAATTTAACACTTGGGTCAATGAATTCTAACTCATATATATATTATCTCTGATGTAAATACATTGATTCTTCGATGAATTTAAAAAATTAATTTTTCTTATTTATATATATATATATATATATATATATATATATATATATATATATATATATATATATATATATATATATATATATATATATATATATATATATATATATATATATATATATATTAGTATCATGTGAAAATCTGAAAACAAAATGTCAAATCAAGTGATTGTGTCGATCTTGATATTTGTTGTGTATTTGAATATTTCAAGAGCTTCACATGATTTAGTGAGTGTGAGTGAATCAAGAAGAAATCCATCCATTTTTGAAACTCATCTAAATGAGTCAAAAATCAACATACTCTCTCTTTCCGTAGTCAATAACATGCCTTCTGGGTCAGGAGAGGTAACCATGATTTGCAGCTTTGATAATGGGAAGAGTCATAATTTGGAATCTGGAAAACCTTTTACCTTTTTATCCAACTTTGATACAAAAAAGTGTGAATTAAATTGGGAGTCACACCATTTATTATTCTTTCTATATGATCGTGATCAAGAAGGTGGATTAGCTCATCAAAAAGTATATTGGTCAGTGAAAAAAGATGGTTTATATCATAGTTGGGATAATCGCAGTTTTGATAAAAAGGGAAATTGGGATACTGAGAATTTTGATAAAAAGGGAAATTGGGATAACTAATTATGTAAGGGGGTTTTCTTATTCTAGTTTCTACCATTTACAATTAAATAAGAGACAAACATTTAATTGTTATTGTCTATGTAAGGGGGTTTTCTTATTCTAGTTTCTACCATTTACAATTAAATAAGAGACAAACATTTAATTGTTATTGTCTATGAATGAATTTGATTATTATTGATATGCATATGCATTTTTCTTCTTTTTCTTTCAATTAGTCGATCTTAGTGTTTTAGATAGGTTGGTTGAATCCGTCAAATCAAAAATTGAAAAAGATAGTTAATTCAAATTAGTTATTGGATCGATCATATAATTAATTTGATAAAATTGATGAACCATAAATTTCTACGAACTAGAGAGATTAATGCTTGTGTTTTTTTATAAATAAAATGAGAGGTTTTATAATAATTATTATTTATTTTATAAAATTGAAAAACAAAATTGAAAATAGATTTTAGAAATTAAAATGTAAAAAGTAGTAGAAAATCAAAATCTTATTAGTTAAACCTTTATCTTTATTTACGAAAAAAGTTCGAAAAAAAATAGATAAGAAAAATCAATTGTCGACTAATTTTACTAGAGGTCTAGGGTTTAAAACTAGCTCTGAACATATTAGTAGGGTTGAAAATTTTCGTACAAGACTTTTGACGCTCATTTTAATTGTTCTTAATTCGAAGAATTAAGGGAGAGTTTTGTTACTCATTATGATCTTTTTCGACTCAAAAGATTAGTCTTTACAATTACGCACAGATGATGTGTGATTTACATCCAAAAAAATTGTCTATAATATTTTTTACATTTTTAAGTGTCACAATATTTTAGAACTTTTTAAAGATCAATTCATCTGATCCAATCTTATTTATATGAACTTTCATAGACTTCAAAGTATAAATTTGTGTCATATCCTAATTTTGACCTAAGATCCCATCCTCCATCTGCATCATTGCAAAGCAAGTGTTTGCGAGTGGTTTGACTTATTTTTGCCAATTCTCGAGTCAAATTTCAAAAATTCACAATTTATTCAAATTTCAACATCTTTGAGCGGTTCATTTTGTATATGATTCTCTTTGACGTTATCTACAACTTTTCTTTACAAGTCAAGAGCCAATTATGCTTGAAAAGCTATGAAAAAATATGAAACGTTAGAAGTCGTTTTGTAAATTTGACAAAATTTTATTTCGATTGTGTTTTCTTCATGATTTCTTTTCCATTAAAAAAACAAAAAAAAATACATTTAGCATCATTCTACTTTATTTACAATTTTATTTTTTTAATTCAAAAAATCCTAATATATATATATATATATATATATATATATATATATATATATATATATATATATATATATATATATATATATATATATATATATATATATATATATATATAGCTGACAAATGGGTCGGCCCAACCCGCATCTAGAATTGGCAAAAATAGGTCAAATCGCTCGCGAACACTTGCTATGCAATGATGTAGATGTAGGATATGATAGATGCTCTTATTTAAGTTTTCTCTATCTAATGAGGTGAAGATCAAAATCTTCGTCTCGACGTGATTGGAGAGACTTAAATACAAAATACAATTTTTTGCCCTAAGATGCTGCAACGATACTTTTGATATAACATGAATGCAATGGACTCTTTTTCGACACACTTTTTTTGTATATGATATGATATGAAAGACATACTATGTGGGAATAAGACTTAAAATAAGACAGTTATAGTAGATTGAAAGGGATGACGTGGCAAGACGCGTTGGGAAAAATACAAGATATTTGACATCCAATATTTGGCATTGGAGGAGGTGAAAAACACTCTACTGGGGACTATGACATCCCAGATTGGCATCGGATTAACAAAAAAGTCGAGACATCCAATTATTGGCTTTGGACAGCGACAAAAGATCATGACATCCAATATTGGCATCAGATGGCAAAGAGAAACATGATACCCAAGATTGGCATTGGTTGAAAGTGAGAAGCAACAACACATCCAATATTAGCATTAGACAGAAGGAGAAACAACACATCCAATATTAGCATTGGACGGAAAAAGTAACATCTAATCCAAGATTAGCATTGGTCGAAAAAGAAACAGACAAACATACATCTGCTTTGGTGGATGCCAAGTAAGTTGGACTTTGACCATGAGAAACGATGTTGATAACAACAAGACCTAGAAAAATGCATATGAGTATGCATGGTATATATATGCTTTATGCAATGTTGATCCTAACAACTGGATTAGAATATTTTGTTTGGCAAGATTGGACTTTGATTCCTCAATAACAGGGAACATTGTCGAGCTTGAAATCAGAAGATGTCTTAAACAAACTTCTATCACATTTGTGAACTGTAATGAACAAAGATATCCTTGGATGAAGGACTATAGAGATGTTTGGGGATTATTGAAGAAGATGACTCCAAACTCAATTGACCAGTGTAAAATGTCATTGTTGTATACCTGACACACTTGTCACAACATGAGTATTGAAGAAGAACTTCTGATAAACTTGTAAGAGAAATAGTCACTAATAAACAAATCCGGGAATAAGCTTCAACAGGACCCAAAAGATACTTTCCCATGATTAAAACATAGACCAAATTTTTGACAGATTGAAAATTCCTTACGAGGAAAACATGTTTGCAGTTTGACTCATTGATTTTATTTTTAATTAATTCATTAAATATTAGTTAACAATGTAAATGAATTTAATGTTTGTTTTAATGTTTTTTAACATAAGCTAAATCAACTATCTAACTAAGACTATAAAATACCTAAGTACTCTCTAATTTACCCTTCTACAAAAAAATTATTTGCACTAAACCTTGTCCTTAGTTGTAATTGACTAATACAAATTTATTGGCCAGTGAAAACATATATTGTTTCCAGGTGGCGGAACAATTGTTACTATGTTTCCATGTTTCAAAAGTTTGTGGACAAATCGAACGTCAACAGGGACACAGATTGAGCGTGAATGGTTGATAAAGCTTTTGCTCCTGTTCATCCACAAAGGTTCTAGATTTTTCAATTTCTACTGTGGGTTTTCTCCAAAATTTATTCTTTCACTCTCTCATTCATAGTTTGATTTTTTTGGTGTAACAGACAAGGTATGCATTTACACTTCTCACTCTTCTTTTCAACTTTTCTGATTTAGGAGTTTTGATTTTCATGATTTATGTTCTTTTTTTGTAATTTTGTTATAATTTTTTTCCTCTCAGATGTTAGAGATTATTCTTCCTTTTATTTTTCATTTGTATTTTTATTTAGTTGTACAATGGGTTATGGTGAAATATTTTTCTTTTCATTTTCGTTACAGGGACAAGAGAAGAAAGAGTTAGGGCATGAAAAAGAGACAAATATTTATTTGTTCTAATTTTAGTAAGATAGTATAGTTTAAGACAAACTGTAATTTTTCTCATTAACTTTATGGTGTTATTTTTATAGTACAAGTGATTAGAAGATTGTTAATCTTGAGCACTTGCTAGATATGTTGAAAGGAGATCAGCAAATTAGTGGAGTATTTTCCTTTCAAACAATTCACCTTTATAGTTTTCTTTGTTGTTCTATCATTGCAACTGTCAAATATCATTGTTGCTGTAAAAAACTTCTTAATGGGATATTTTTCTTTCAAACAATGCACCTTTATATATATATATATATATATATATATATATATATATATATATATATATATATATATATATATATATATATATATATATATATTTGTTAGGGAAGTACTATTCATGAACTCTATATATGCAGGGTGTGGATTCTATATGTGAACTCCCAAGATACCAAACAGAAGAAATTGATGCAAAGTATGCAACTCGCCTTTTAGCATCAAAGGAGTCACAAGAAGATATCTTAGGTTATGAGGTATGATGTTCATATGTATTTCTATCAAGTGCACATTGCTTAATATCATCACATAGCTTTAAATTATGTATCAACGAACTAAACCTTAGTTACCTTGGTATTTTAACTTAGTACTTCCAAAAATATGGGCCTTAGACTATTATTAAATTGTAAGATGGGCCTTAGACTTAAGTTTGGATCTAATCACACCCACTTATTCTTTTTACACTCTCTGCCCATCATTCATGTTTGTTAATTTTAGTGTTAGTTTTTTTTTTTTTAACTTAGTCAATTAGTTTGATTAAGTTAGATGTTCATTAAATGACTAAAATATAATAAATTACTAATTAACTTGTACATAAAATAAAACACTTTTTAATAATTAATTTAAACGTGTTACAAATAACAGGATTAGTGGATACATATCCACTATATTCTTTGGTTGGCTTAACACCTTATCAATTAATTGTTCAACATCAAAACATTAAAATCCACGTGAACTTGATTTTTGCTAAAAGCGATAATTAAACACTATCTCTCAAAGCGATAAACAAACCAAGGTCAACTTCTTCTCCTAGAGCGATCAAATTCAAATAAGGATTAACTCCTTATCGACCAAGTCAATTTCTTTGCCTCGAGCGAATTAATTCTGATAAGGATCAACTCTTTATCAAGACTCAATCAAATCAATTACTTTGCTTAGAGCGATTTAATTCTGATGAATATCAAATCTTCTTCAATGATTCAAGAAAACCTAATTCAAACCAATTAGCCAATTCAAACACTTTTTTTCACTAACTTAACAAAATTCAAGATTATTTTTGAAAAATGATTAAACAGGAATACTTTCAAAATTAAATGTGAATTGCGTCTACGATCACTCTTTTACAAAACCCAAAGAAGGTCAAGGATAACTCGAAAGTAATTCTACACAATCCTATAAAAACACCAGCCAAACATACGAACTACAAATTTGAACTCTGATTCTTCGCAAGAAGATACGTAGGCACGTGGTTAAAACCAAGACGAGTTCATAACTAAAAAACTAAAATTCTCTTCTTAAATATATGGAAACAACATAACTAAGTAGAAATTCCCAATTTACCCTGAAACCTAAAAGGGGAGCCCCTTGAGAACAAGGGA